ATACAAGAAGGCAAGAAAGCAAAGCAGTTCTAGGCAGAAAGTAGGATAATAAGGGTGGAGAAGCTTCCAGTGATGTAAAGAGCTAAAGAGGGTAGCGTGCGTAGGAGCAGAGATAACAGTCATAGAAGCCGAGGCAGTCAAAAGAAGGCTAGCATGGTATGTAGAATGGGTTTTCAGTGTGTCTTACAATTGCTTGAGAAGGATGGCAAGAGTTGGAATGGAGAAAAAAACTCTCATAGGAGACAGTGTCCTCAATGACTATAGGCAAATGACAGGTACTTAACTGCGAGAGGAGTAGTAAAAGGAGGCCTAGAGGGTGGGTAGTCACACAAAAAGATCCTGACCAAGGAGATATTTTTTCAAGGTAGAGAATAGTAATACACTAAAATGGAAAGTAAAGGTTTGGGGCAAAGTAGTATCCCTACTGGCCCACAGATAAAGGGAGATCAATCAGTGGGAGAGGTATTAGAGCAAACTATTCCAGAAAACTGTCTAGGGAAACTGTGGCCTAGGGTGACAGCTATGTTTCATTTAAGGCAAGGAGTAAAGAGAAAGTTCTGGCAACAGCCTAAAGATCTATAAGGGTTTGTTTATAACAGAACCGAAGTAAGGCCAGGTGTGGTAGCTCACACCTGTAATCCCAGCACTTTGGGAGACTGAGGCAAGAGGATTGCTGAAGTCCAGGAGTTCAACACCAGCCTGGGTAATATAGCAAGACATGGTCTCTATAAAAAAAAAAAAAAAAAAGCAAAATAGATTGACATGGTGGTATGTGCTAGTAGTCCCAGCTATTCAGGAGGCTGAGGAGTTTGAGGTGGCAGTGAACTATGATCACACCACTGCATTCCTGCCTGGGTGACAGACTGACACTCTATTTTTAAAAAGTCACAAAGGTGAGAGGAGATGCTAACAAGCTACATGAAACAGGGAGCATGGAGCAATATGCAGGAAAACTGGCTACCCTATTTGCATCATGCCCTCTCTTTTCCATTTTTCTGGGCTCTGCTGATCAGACCTATGTTGTTGCCAAGCAACAGGCAGAAATCTCAGGGCCTCAGTATTTCTTTATCACTCTGCCACCACCAATTTTCCTTCTGGCAACCAGACAGTAAATAGGGCTAAATTACCACATAACCCAACAGGGAAGGACTGGGCCTACTAAGGAAAGCAAGTGGCTTTACCCTGAAGGAGCTGTGGGACCTGGACAACATGTCACAGTAGGAACAAGGACAGTACTTTTGAGACTGTATTCTGAGAATGCTGAGCAAGAGATAAATGGAAAATAAATTTGGATAATGGAGAGGTTATTGATCTGAGTGCACTCTCCAGGGAGAGAGAATTTAGCATCCCAGCAAGGACCTGGGAAACATTGAGGAAAAATGGTGGCCCACACTAAGAGAAGTAAAAATGCAAGAATTGCCATGACAAATGATAAAAGTAGGGCTCAGGATGTTCAGAGAAGTAGGTGTGCTTGAGTGATCATATCATGTAAGGCCAGAAACCCCATCAGATGTCAAAATTCCGATTCAGCTGCTCCATGTATTCAGCTGAAAACTGGTAAGAAGGGTACTAGCACCACTGAAAAGCTCAGTGGTAGCCCTCCTCTGTAGGTCATGGTTGATGATAAAAGATGCTATTACAAGGTCAGGCATGGTAGCTTGTACTTGTAATCCCAGAAATTTGGAAGGCTGAAGCAAGAGGATGACTGGAGCCCAAGGGTTCAAGACAAGTCTGGGCACTAGAGCAAGACCTTGTCTCTAAAAGATATTTTAAAAATAATAATAATAAACAGGCAGATATGGTAATGTGCACCTGTAGTCCCAGCTACTTGTAAGGCTGAGACGGGAGGATACCTTGAGCCTGGGAGGTTGATGCTACAGTGAGCTATGATTACGCCACTGCACTCCAGCCTGGGCAACAGAGTGAGGCCCTATCTGAAAGAAAGAAAGAAAGAAAGAAAGAAAGAAAGAAAGAAAGAAAGAAAGAAAGAAAGAAAGAAAGAAAGAAAGAAAGAAAGAAAGAAAGAAGGAAAAGATGCTGGTACAGAATTGAGTTCATAGATAACAATGGGAATAATAGAATCCCGAAATAATAGAAGTCAGGTGTTGGTACTTAGCCATTAGTGTGGCAGCCCCAGCACTTGACCCAGAAAGAGCTTAAAGATGGTTAATGGAGTAAGGCAACCCATGGGAAATGACAGTCTACACAATGAAAAAATTAAAAAATAACAAGGGTGGATGACACAAGGCTTAGACTAGAGCAACAGCCTCAATAAAAAGTCATAGTCTCTTCTCTAATTTCCTGACTTGAAGCAGTTTACCAATCTAGAATCTGCTGACTGATGGAGGGGCAGGATGATCAGGAGGAAGGACTCTGCAACACCATGGTGAGCATATATGGTAATGATTTCTCCCATCCCTACCGTACTCCTAGTCCTTCCCTTCAAGGACCTTTGGTCACTCAGAAAATCACATATCAAAGTAAAGGGAACATCCAATTTTTTGAGAGTTATTGGATGTGATCACTGTTGATACCCTCAAACCAAAATATTAGTATGACCTCCAGTAAGAGTGGAGGCATTCAGGAGCCAGAGAGTTAATGGAGTCCTTGCCTGGGTCTGGCATACAGTGGGTCCACTGAACACATGGACCTGTGTTGTTGATCATTTCCCTAGTTCCCAAATATATCATTGAAATGGGCATACTTGGGAGTTCGTACAATATCCACATCTGTTTCTTGGTCTGTGGGATAAGAGACATCAAGTGGTAACTCCCTTTTGGCAACAGGGAGCCTCTGAAATTGCATAGCCATGATAGTAAATAAATAATAATAATAAAAAACAATATAGGGGAGTGGCAGATATTAGTGCCTTTTTGGGTTCCCTTCATATCTCCATTTAATTCACCATAGTTGACTTACAAAAACACAACAGTTCCTGGAGGAATAAACAATAGCCTACTGCAACTCAACCAAGTAATAACCCCATTAGAGCTGCTGTACCAGATATGAAATCTTTACAAGAGCAGAGCAACATGACTTCAAGTAACTGGTTGGATGTGAACAATATGATGAACATATTCTTTCCCAACCTTATCAGACAGTAAAATCCAAAAGTCTTTATATTTAATTGAAACATATAATGGAAAATATTTACAGTGTTGCCCCAGGACCATGATGTCTCTCCTTAACTTCCATAATGATATATAGTCCTATGAGACCAGAACTGTCTAGACATTCCATAGAACATCACACTGTTCTACCACATTGGTATTATTGTGCTAATCAGAGTGGATGTGCAAGGATTGGCAGACATGTTGGGGGCCTTGTTGACATATGTGTACTCCAGAGTGTGGAAGAAAATGCCTATAAATTGTTGGAGGTTTATCATATCAGTGAAATTTAGGGATCCTATGATTCAGGGCATGCTTTTTTGTGTCCTGTTTAAGAAAGAGCTGCTTATTTCTGGATCATGTTTTCTTCCAAAATATGTATTATTTTACTTTCATATTTAGACCTATGATCCATTTCTAATTGATTTTTTTGTATTTGTATGAGGTGGGCGGGGGCTCTCTTTATTTCTTGCATAGTGTTAACTAGTACTCCCAGGATCATTTATTAGGGAAAAAACTTTCCTCCATTGCTCTGTAGTATCACCTTTGAAAAATCAAATTACCTCATGTGTAATGATTTTAGGTAGTATTATAATTATCTAATATAACAGTATGTAAATTATACATGTTGTTTTATATTTATTTTCTGAAATAAAGGTATACAATGAAATTTCACATCTAGACTTTGTATCCAGTGACCTTATTAAGTCCACTTATCAATTCGAGTAGTTTGCTTCTTTTAGATTTTCAGTATGTGAATTTATGTCATTTGAAAATAATGTGTTATTTCTTCTTTTCTAGTCTGTAAATCTTCTGTTCCTTTTTCTCCTTTATTGCGTTAGCTAAGCACCCAATATCATGTTGAAAATAAGTGATATTAGCAGACATGTTCTTGTTTCATTACTGATGTCATGGGGAAATAGTCAACGATTTACCTTAAGTACAATGCAAGCTGCAGTTTAGTCCTGATAAAGAACAAAGATGCTCTCTCTATTCCTATCTTGCAGAGAGTTTTTTTTTTAAATCATGAATAGGTGTCTAATTGTATTTAAAAAATTTTTGCAACCATCAAAATGATCATATGATTTTTCTCCTTTTTTATTATTCTGGCAAAATACATAGATTTTTTTCCAGTGTTAACCTCATTTAGTCATGATTATTCTGAAATAAACCTCATTTAGTCATGATTATTCTTTTTGCAATACAGCTTGATTCAATTTGCTAATGTTGTGTTTAGGACTTTTGATTCTATGCTGATAACAGATTTGTAATGCTTTTGAAAACTGTAAATTATATGATCAGAAATGCACTCTGGTGGTGTTTACTTGGCAGTGTGCAGGTTGTAGAATAGATTAGTGTGGGAGTTGGTTGGTGATGGATTAGGAGGGTTACTGGAGTTTTAAGAGGAGAGCTTGACTCTTTTTGGGAGAGGTGGAAATGGAAAGCAGGAGTAGACTGTCCAGGATTTAGCATATGATTAAATGAAAGTGTAATATTATAAAATAGAGAAGTTAGGAGAGGTAGATTTGAACTTGGAAAAGAGTAAAAATAATGAGTTGACTTTAGGGTGAAATCCTTATCTTTACCATTATTATCACTATCAATAGGATCCATACAAAGGACCAAGGGCAATTTAAGAAATTGCAAACGTATAGATCTACATAACTGGTCAGTACTTTAATTACAAAATTTTCCTAGGTTGATTTGGAACTAGTTTTTAAAGTTATATCCTTTCACAACCAGAAAAATAGGTAATCTTATATTAAGGGAACCCCTTGAAAGGGGATCCTTACTTCATACCCTTCGAATACAAATTGCGCTGTTCCTCCCCCAACCACCAGGTGGCGATCATGTGCCCAAGATGTGTTCCAGCTTCGTCCCTCCTTTTTTAAGGCAACTTGCGTGACTCCCGGGAGCGCGCACGTCCCGGAAACTACGCCTATTGCTGACGCCGTAGTCGCGTTTGTCGTTCAGCTGAGGCTACGCGGCCGCAGTAGGGCCCGGGTCTGAGGAGTCGGACTCATGTGGAAGCTGCTCCCGGCCGCGGGCTCGGCGGGAGGTAAGGACTGAAGGGAAACCTCGGGCCCGGTTTTCCCGGGAGCGACTGCAACGGGGAAGGTTTGAGGGCGACGCTTCCTGCGCCGCCTGTTTCCGCCCCGGGAGGCTGAGGAAGCGAATGCAAAAGCGGCGGAATTGGTGTCTGGGAAGCGCAGGGTCTTCCGGGCTGTGTGGGTACTTGAGCCGGGCTGGAGCCGGGGCGGTGGCGTTAGGCGACCCCACCCGTCCCACGCTCAGTGTAGGTGATGGGTACCCCGCCCCACTTGGATGACCTGCGGAAGTGAGCCTTGGCCGGGTATCCTGTGTGACATCTCAGGTTTCAAGCTTTTAAGGAAAAACAATGGGTTATTATGGGCCGGACCACACGGTGGCAGAGGACGGCTGTTTGGAACATTTTTTGTGAGAACCACATGATAGTTTGGGTAAATGGCGACCACAGGAGAGCTTACTTTTCAGTTTTGTTTCAGACCCTTTTTTCCTTAATGGCATCAGAACAACTGAAAAAAATAGATTTTCCTTTCTGCATCTCCAGTAGTGGGAAGTGGCTGTCACATGTTAATTGGTTGCCTCATGTATGGAGAGCTCCTTATTAGTTGACAGAAGAGTAAACAGGTATACTTAAGATTGGATCTTGTCCTCAGGATGTTACGTTATGACTGGAAAAAGATCTATGTAGAGACTTAAATGGACTGACAACGTAGGGCAGTATGAAGAGGGCCAAACTCAATAAATATTCGAAGGCAGCCTTGTGGGCCTGGCTTTCCTAGACTCCTCCCTGCTAGTCTGTTTTATCTGCCCTAATCACCTAGCCACCCTGCTAATGAAATCTTGTGCTCCCGGACGAAACCGCACAAATCTCCACCAATAAGCTGTTACTCCAACAATTTGTGGTTTATAACATTAAAAAAAAAAATTGATAATCCTTTCTCACTGATTTGAAATGCTACCTCTAACATAAAAACAAGATTCCCAAAAATAGACACTTGCATGTAGTCTGGACTTTATTGCATTGTTTTGTGTTTACTTCTAGTACAATACCATACATTTTAATTACTCTAGATTTATGGCATATTTTGTCAACTGATAGGTTAAGATTCCATAATATTATTCAAGTTTTTCTTGACTATTTTTAACATAGTTTCTTAGCGAGTTTTTGAATTCGTTTATCGGTTCCAAGCATCATGTTGTAATTTTACTTGTTAATGCATTAAATTTATAAGTTAATTTGGGGGAACACTGACTCCTTTCAGTGCCGTTTTGCTTTAGAAAAATGGGATATTGTGTTTGCTTTAGAAAAATGGGATAATCTTACATTTAGTTAATCTTTTTTATCTTTCAGTGAGGCTTTGCTAGAAAACATGTTTGACATATAAAGTTGATTAACATTTGAATAGCAAAAATTTATTTTTGCTTTATTTAACATTTGTCATACCTGTATTATATATTCATGTATGTATGTGTATGTACATATATGTGTGTCTATAAGTTTACCTTTTTAAAAAATTTCTCTTAGGAGAACCGTACAGATTTTTGACTGGTGTTGAGTACGTTGTTGGAAGGAAAAATTGTGCCATCCTAATTGAAAATGATCCGTCCATCAGTAGAAATCATGCTGTGTTAACTGCTAACTTTTCTGTAACCAATCTGGTATGTTACTAATTTTATTGCACTAGCTCACAATAAAGGGGTTAAAATCACAAAGGATTATCTTGGTGCATATGTGAGAGAGAGTTCATAGAACTTTTTATTTCATAAAGCTGCTCAGATTTTTTTTTAATGTTAGCAAAGTTAAATACTTATATTTTGGCAGTGGTGTTTGTTTATTTTGAGATTACGTGCTACTGTTTCAGGATTTACTGTTTGTTTTAAGGAAACTTAGAGGTAGTAGGACATATTTATTTTTACTTACCTAAACATTTATTGAGTGTTTACTGTGTTTGGGCACTGTGCCAAAACTGGGAATACGGTGGTGGGCACAAGGATATTCATGACTCCTCTAAAAAAGTTATGTAGGCGTGTGGACACAGGCATTTTTCATATAAATTTTCATAGTGGGAATTGATTTGCTTCACTAGGGAGAATATCCTTTGCCTATTTATACCCCATAGCTCCTTTGAATGACTTTGAGTTTCTTTGTTTTTATCACAGCCGTGGGTGATAAAAATGATAGGTGTGTGTGTGTGTGTGTGTATATATATATATATATATATATATTAGTGTCTGAGCTCATGATAATGCTCGTTGTAATGAGAAAGCCATTGTTTTGGACAAAGACTGAAAATGCTAGTTTTGTTCAGTGATATTTAGGTTTTGTGTTGATTCTTTTAGGTGTTGAAAAACATTGAAATTTCTGCAGAAAAAGTAAAATGGTTACTGTAAGTTAGAAACTCTAGCTTTTATCCCCTTATTCTTATTGCATCCATTTTTAGAATATGGTTTTGGTAATATTTTTAAAAATTAAGAATCAAGTTGTCATGTATGTGAAACAGACCATACACATTTTCTAATGTGTGAAATTAAGGGATCAGAAAAATCCCCACTGACTTATAAAAATAAAGAAAATATATGTTCTAAGAGGGTTAACTCTGAAATTAAGAAATTTCCCTAAGGGGAAATGTTAATTGCTAGTTACATGATCATCCTCTGAAGGTAACCAAAGCAGTAAGTATTGTCTACTGTGTTGGTAGGTTTGCCTGTCTAATGCCTATTCAGAAAGTTACCGACCTTTTCTTCTGAGAATTAAATGTACTGAGTGGTGAAATACTTTATTTGCTCGTGTTTCAGAGTCAAATAGATGAAATCCCTATATTGATGTTAAAGGATAATTCTAAGTATGGGACCTTTGTTAATGAGGAAAAAATGCAGAATGACTTTTCCCGAACTTTGAAGACAGGCGATAGCATTACCTTTGGAGTATTTGAAAGTAAATTCAGGTAAGAAGTTTTAAAATTAGACAGCTTTATTTCACACCAATTAAATTCCAAATGGAAAGAATATTTATGAATAAAGAATGGAAAACAATGATTTAGTTCTCACTTAGCACAGTAGTAGACTGTGCGCCACGTGTGGTTTGTGCATGCTGTCAAATGAAGTGATGCAGTTTGAGTGGGCCCTAGAGTCTTTGTTTGATTCTTCATAGGTGAAAGAATAATGTTAAATTTTGGTTATTATTTTTTCTTCCTTGGACTCAAGATTTAGGAATTGATAATTTTATAAGCTAGAAAGTTTAATAATACATAAAAATTAAAATTAGGTTAACAGTCTGTGACATAAGCTTGAAGTTTTAAGTACTAAAAGTTGCCATGTCTAGAACTGTGATAACATAACTTTATATAATTTATTTTCATTTACAGAATAGAGTATGAGCCTATGGTTGTGTGCTCTTCTTGTTTAGATGTCTCTGGGAAAACTGCTTTAAATCAAGCTATATTGCAACTTGGAGGACTTACTGTAAACAATTGGACAGAAGAATGTACTCACTTGGTCATGATATCAGTTAAAGTTACCATTAAAGTAGGTTGAATGCCTTGTTATTATGTTAAAATAAGTTCTGTGAATTTAAGCTTACTCACCCACTATTTAAAAAATTTGTTGAAAACTGTCAAAACTGTTAGTTGTAGACTTATATATGCTCATTCCGTGCCTTTATATACTGTTTAGGCTTACATGGCTTTTCAGATAACCTTTTTATTATTTGACACAAGCAAAAGCATGTAAAAGTAGATTTCAGATTTTGATTTAGCATTTTAAAAAGTGATTTATGTTATTCTTTCACCAAGGAGTTTATTACAGTGCATAGTGTGTTTTCAGTTTTTCTAAAAGCAAAGCAACTAGAAATTAACTGCCAGTCTTCAAAGTTAGCAGCTCATGTCTCTTCTGTTAAGTTGTCTTCTTCCAGTCTCTGATACTCTCTCATGACCTCTTATTCTCTTATTTAGTATTTAATTGAATCAAGGTCCTAATCACAAAGACTTTTAAGTTCTTGTGGTTTAATATTGTCTTAATGTACCATTGTAACCTAGAGATATTTAAATATATACCTTTAGAAGATGCTGACTATTTAAAACAGTGATATATTTTTGGTATGTTTTCAGATTTTGCATCTTCCGATTAGTTTATATCCAAAGCTAATTGAAGAATGACATTGGGAGGTGATTCGTCTCTTTTTAAACAGGTTGACTATAGATGTGTGGGATTGTTTTAGGCTCATATCTATAGTAAAAAGCAAATATTTAGATTCTTGTATTAGATGACACAAAAATCCTCTGAAATTTAATGAAATTAATTAAATTAGAATGTGTATATTATAGCTAAAGAAATGTCATGAAGAAACACTTGCTGCTTGGAATGAACCTCAAGTTCAACTTATACCTTGGTGAGGTTATCTCTGAGCAAGGATTTTTTTTTCCCTTTTCAAGTTTATGAATTTTATAATTTCAGCAGCATGACTAACCTCTTGAGTACTAGTTTATGCTAATACATCCACAGATGGTAGATTTACAAATCAAAATGTCCATTTATTAGTTTATAGTAGGGATGCACCTTTACAGTGACTAGAGTATTAAAGTGTAAACACACTCTAATACAGTCCCTTTTTAGATATTAAGGTACTTAAGAAATAGAGTAGCCGGGCTCGGTGGCTCAGCCTGTAATCCCGCGCCTTTGGGAAGCTGAGGTGAGTGAGCCTGCAGGTTCGAGACCCGCCTGGGCAACTTGGCGAGACCTCATCTCTACAATAAATCAAAAAATTAGCCGGGCGTGGTAGTACACGCCTGTAGTTCCAGCTACTGGAAGGCTGAGGTGGAAGGATCGCCGGAACCCAGCAGGGCGAGGCTGTAGTGGCCGGGAGCGGCCACTGCACTCCAGTCTAGATGACAGAGTGAGACTCCAACTCAAAAAAAAAAGAAATAGAGTAGGTAATTGTACACCCATTTGGTGGGTGTGAAATAAATCAAAGGCAGTTAGATTGTCTGTCTTGAAGGATTTTTTTTACCAAGCCTTTGACAGACCTGGATACTATTCCAGTGACTGGTATGCTGATGGCCATTACCGATCTCTGTTAGAGACATTGAGATGGTTTACAGAGCAGTGTCTTTTTAAAAAAATATTTATGATCAATCGTGTGCCAAAAAAAGAACACCTTGTCATTATTTTATTGATACATCTTCCAAAAGTACAGGTTAGCTTATGTTTTTAAAGTCATTGAATGTCAGAATCAAAATGGAACTTAAAGAGCATTCAGTTCAACTTTTATTTTTTGATGAGCAAACTGAAACACAGAACAATTAAATCATTTCCTCAGAGTCACATGTGTAGAGTTTAAGCAGTCCAATGTTGAATTGCAAATTCCTGCTTCATGATGGAAGCTATTTCATTCACAATGGAGGTTCTATTCTTGAGAGACACCCTAAATCTGCTTGCTCCTGTTTAAGTAATACCCTGTGTTATTAAAAGCTTACTTTTATAAATTTACTAGGTAGATTAATTCCTGGAATTATCCTGAATCTTCATTTTTATTTTAGTTGCCTACTATAGTATTTTCTAATCTTTCTCAGATATTATGTCTTATATGGGGCTCTTGCTTAATTCACATGCTAGTTGAAGCTTCTTTTTTCCACCATTATCTGTATGTAAATATTTTGAGCTTTTACTGAGTTCCAAACAGTTATTCCTTTATCTAATTTCTTGAAAAGGCTTTATTCCATAGTTATACTCTTTCTGAAAGGCAATTAGGCTGAAAAGATCTTCTCTTTCCTGTTTATCTCTTAATATTGTCTTCACTGCTTTAGATATGTTGCAGTTCCTCAATTCTAAGATATACTTTTAACATTTTAATGTTTTTGAAATTGGAATGCATTTTAAAATTGACTTATATTTTATGTATGTTGTTCACTCCCCGCAGAAAGAGCAGTTTTAAAATTAATATTGCAATTGGTGGCTTCATATAATTGAGTGATCATATAGTGATCTAAAATAAATGGTGACCAAATACTGACTTCTATTTCATAAATTGTGGCTCTTTTATAAGTTTAGAGAAATGAAAGGGAAAATAATATAGAACAACTTGTTTGTATTTTATAACTTAAAACTTTTCTTTAAAAGACGACAGCATATGAATAGATATATTCATGTTTTCTTCATTTTAGACAATATGTGCACTCATTTGTGGACGTCCAATTGTAAAGCCAGAATATTTTACTGAATTTCTCAAAGCTGTTCAGTCCAAGAAACAGCCTCCACAAATTGAAAGGTATATTATGTATTTAAAATATAACTAGGTATAACATACAAAATATCACATTGATTTTATTTAGTTAAAATTCCCTCTTTAGTAATTATTTCAAGATGTAATAGTTGCTGTTTTATAGTTTCAGTGTTGTTAATGGAAGTTTTCTTGTTAGTATGTAAAGAAAGGTTCTTCAGATTCTTGTTGAATGTTTCTTATTTCTGTGAAACAAATGTTAAATATGTGCTAATATTTAAAGAGAAAAAAATGGAAAGACAGTAAATGGCATTGAGGTATGATCAAAAGAGCCCCTGTCAGTGACAGGCTTCATGTGAGAGGTACCTCTGGAATTGTGTGGTACAGCAGCCTTCTTTGGGAGCCACATAGTCCTGGAACCAAGTGTTAGCAGCACTGATGCATTGGAAGTGGAGCTCATTTTTGCAGAGCTTTAGTTACCCCATTTCAAAAATGAGGCTAATGCCTACCTAGCTGAATTGTTTTAAGTATTAGTAGTACAGTAATACAGTCATGTGTTGTTTAACTACAGGGATACATTCTGAGAAATGCATCAAGTGAGTTCATTGTTGTACAAATATCATAGAGTGCACTTATACAAACCTATTCAAAATTGTTCTGTAAAGATGAGCTTATATATAGTCAATCTATTATGCCATATAGACTAATGAATACTGCAGGCAGTTGCAACACAGGATTTGGGTATTTAAACATATCTGAACATAGAAAAGGTACAGTAAAAATATGGTATCATAGTCTTATGGGACCACCACTGTATGTGCAGTCCATTATTGATCAAAATGTCATTTTGTGGTCCATGACTGTATATAGCACATTGCCTGGTGTCATAATAAGTGCTTGTTAAAAGAAGTAATTACTGTTGCTAATTGCAGCAGTATCTGAAGATAATATCATTTTGTTTTACTTTTTTTTAAATGCTCTGTCAAATTAGTTGCTGTATATGTTTGTTAGCGATATTTTGAAGTAATATAAATTATGGTTGAGGGGTAAGATAATTGGAAATATTTTTTTGGATCGCATGTTAAAATGCTGAGGGCTATAAAATGGTAGATGTTTTTAGTAGTGCAAGAACTTCAGTAGATTATAGTCTGTATGGCATAATAGATTGATGGTATGTAAGCTCATCTTTATAGAATAATTTTGAATATTTGAAGGTTTTTTAAAAATTAAAATGTGCAACTTAGGAATTTCATTACTGTTTTTGAACAGTTGTTTTATAAGCGATTTTGCTTAATATAGGACTTTTAAGAGACTATTTATACCTGATAAATGTCTGCTTTTAAAAGTAACTAAAAATCAGGTTTTTCTCTTTGTTTGTAATTTATGTATTTTATATTTTGTTTATTTATTTTAAACTTTATTTATTTATTTATTTATAGTGATTGAAGTCTTCTCTGTTGCTCAGGCTAGTCTTGAACTCCTGGACTCAAGCAGTCCTCCCATCTTGGCCTCCGAAAGTGCTGGTGTTACAGGCGTGAGACATAGTGCCTGGCTAGTGTTTGTAACTTTTATCTGGGAATGTTTTTGTATTTTGTAACTCTTGTAAACAAATAATATAATATTTTGAACTCTAGAAAAAATTTCAGATTTTAAAATATTTGACTTAACCTTTTTTAAGTTCAAGACTCCTGTGAGAATATGAAAGCACTCGTGTCTTCTCAGGGAAACATCACTTGCCCACTACAACCTTGCATAGTATTTTAACAGAATCACATTTTCCTCTGAGGTTCTTCATGAACTTCCCTGGGGAGTGGTCCATAAATCCTGTAAATAATGGTGCTTGCTACAGATAATAAACCATTGTTAATTCCAGACTTGAGAGTAAGGGGTCTGATAAGTTTTCACGACTAGCGGTATATTTTATGGTCTTGGAGTTTTTTGAATTAGTTATTGACTCCTCTTTTTATTCACATTTTCAGGTGTGTTTAATCTGAGTTTGTTTTTGACTATGTTCAGCATAATTTTCTAACTTCAACTTCTTACTGTATTAACATACATGACTACAATAAAACAACTCTGTTATAAGATCATTGAATGACTCCAAATCACTGTTAACTAAGAAGGTTGTTACATTAGCCTATATTTGGTGATAGCAATGATAATCAATTTTTTACTATTATTTTAAGATATATAGTCATTTACCTTAATAGAGTTTTATGTCCATTTTGATATGCTTGTTGAAGACTTACTTGACTGACTGCTCAATTATTAATAGAAAAAATTCAATTTAAAAACATTAGTAGTAGGATTGCATTATAAAAGAGATATGAAATAAATTGTGATGACTCTTTGATTACATAAATACCTTTTTTAGAAGTTCTAAAAAAGCATGATCTCTAGTCCTGGATTTAAATGAGGAGGCATATTATAATATCTTCACTCAACAAAAAGTACAGTCCTATTTAGTATAGTTATATGTACATCTTTGCACTGTTATCAAGAAATAGGGTCAGACAGTTCATGTATCTGACACAATTTGTGATATCTTGTTTTCCTAAACTGTCATCAAAGTAGATCAAGTCATTTTTATTTATTTTTTTTTTTGCAAACAGTGCAGAGTTTTATTGTATGTAAAACATTAAAAAAATTTTTTTAAATAAATTCTTAATAATTTCACATGTCATGATTTTTTCCACTGTTCATCAAAGTAAATTCCTCTAAAGCTGGAGTCAAAATATATCTTCAGAATATATCTTCAGAATATATCTGATAGTTCTTTTAAAGTAGGATTGATGCTTATTCCACAGTTGTCCTGTAAGCCCACAATTGTTTTATTTTGGCTTCTTTTATCTCCACTTGAATATGAGTATACTGATGAAAACTTCAAAATGTCACCTACAGAAAAGCCCACATTTAAAGTTTGTACAATTGAATGTAGAAGGTTCCCTTTCAAAATGAGGTTGCTTAGTTTCCAAATTACCCTAAGACCCAGTGCCCAACTGTTATATATTTAAAATTCCAGGCTTAAAATTGCTCACTGCGAACATTTGCGTCTTTTCAATCCAGTTTATTTAAGGCTGAATGATCCTATTCCCATTCACATCTGAATTGGGTCTCTGATCACAAACTCTAGAGATATGCATGTTTCCAATAACTTTTACCATACATCTTTTATGTTCTGAATCACATTGAGTATTTAGACAAGATGTTCAGATGAAGTCATTTTTTAGAAGATCCAAGTATTTAATTTTGAAACCTGTTCTCTAAAAGAGGAAATGTATTAAAATTTTGTGTATGTCTTTAAATTTTTACGAAGCCTCTCATATTATGAGGTGATTCTCAGTTATTTTATTTCAAATAACAAGTATTATTTTAGGGAGACACTATTGGGAGAGGGAGTCTTCCATGGATTCCTTGCATTCATAAACAACTTGCTGGACATGGCAAGAATGCAAGTCCCTGACCACTCTTTACAGAGGCCAATTCTAGGTTATGTTTGTAGTAAGAAACCATGAGGGATGAAGTAATATCTCCTTCTTGTGATAAAAAGCGGGCTTGCTTATAGCTTGTTATAAAACTGGTGATTCCGAGTTTATTTTCTTCTTTTCTGTAACACATACCACTGTGTGTACTTTCTACAACTTCCGCATGGGATTGGTCAGAGAGGACACCTAAGACAAACACACTGAGGCTCATGCTGCTTGCTTTTTCTCTGACCCAGGAGTCTGTGTCTTCTGCTGGTATCCAGGAAACAGGAACAGGTTTACTTATTAGTGTGTAATCAAATCTCAGATTCAACAGACACATTTGCCTGAAACAATTCCAGTAAATGAATGTTTGACAGTTTAGGAAGCTTATGGGTCCACCTTATATAATCAATTAAAATCCAAAGCAAAGAAATTTAATAATATTAGTAATTTTCTTTCTGGACATAGAATCTCACATTTGCAAGTTGTGGGTGAAATGTTTTAAAACAGGGATGTCCAATCTTTTGGCTTTCCCAAGCTGCATCGAGTAACCTTTTGGCTTCCCTGGGCCGCATCAAGTAAAGAGGAATTGTCTTGTGGCACATATAAATTATATAATATAGTGTATATACATGATAAGACTTTTTAAAAATAATTTTTATTATAAAGTTTAAAAAATGAGAATATAAAACTAGTAAATTTGACCTTGTTTTTTGTAAAACTACTCTATTAATGTGTGGTTTGGTTTTATGAAAGTGGTCACAATTTTTTGTGAGTTGTCAAGGTGATCATCAGAAATGTTTGTTTGAATTTTGCTTTCCGTGTACCTCATAATTGAAAACAGCAGCTTTCAAAGGTATCTGCTGCCAAAAAATGATGTCACAGATAAGGTGTGATTGTGAACTTCAAAAATGAAACTGCACATGGGGTCACAAAGAAAATAAATAATAAAAAACACATGACGTTAAAAGATTTTCTGGGCCTGCATTACTAGCTGTCCTGGGCCACAGGTTTGACATGCCTGCTTTAAAACTTTCATAATGTAATGCTTTAGAAATATTGATTTTAAATTTACTGGTTTCTGCTTTCTTGTTCTCATCGTGACAGTGTTAAAGAGAAAAAGGCTTCTCTAGGTATTTGAAATTCCAGTACAGAGTATGCTTTTTATCACTTGTATTATCAATTATGTATGTATGTATGTATCATATATATATATATATATATATATATATATATATATATATATATATTACTAAGACTCTAACCAGTGTTGAAGTCATATCACCATTTGGTTAGATTCTCGATAATGCAGTGATTATTTTTTTTTTGTTGTTCAAGATTGGGCTTGTCAAGTATTGGGACTCAGATTTATCAGTGTTCTGCAAAGAAAACCAAAATACATTGTTCAGTATATCATCAGAGATGATTATACTTTTTGTCCACTTTTAAATTATTAAGTGAAATTTTTGTTCATATTTTATAATAGCAATTTATTTTGTTACCTGATACCTATTGAATGCTGATAGTGAAGGAGGCAAGATAGACTTGAAGATACAATGATGAGTCAAAAAATTGTTAGCATTTCTGCTCTCTTGGCACCTCGTGGAGGAGCCAAATGATGAAGAATCACACAGAGTTAGAATTCTGGTAGAGCCATTAGGGAGACTAAGGATATATCATGTGTAGGAACCTGGCTCAGAGTGTGAAAGATGCTCAGACTTCATTGAACTAAACTACAGTTAACTGCTCTCTATAAACTGTTATCTAAGGCAAAATTAAGAATGATAATATGAATAACACAAAACTATAGATAATTTAGAAATCATTAAATTTTAGTGTCTTTGGAAAGCAGGAAGAATCTCACACCTACTGAGTCATAAGAATGTGTTAAACATTTGCGTACCATATTTGTCTGTTACTGGTTCTATATCTATCCTAGTGTTGTTACATTACTATATATACTAATTCGTAAATGAGTTGTTTGTATATAAGTGAAGTGTTAGTTGACTTTCACACTTTTAAAATTGTAAGATATGGGAGAATTTTTTTTAAAAAAAATGGGTAAAAGATAAAGGGATTTGAAGAGATATTAAAAATTGATTCTTTTTGTGTTAGAATGTCTACTAATTTTCCATTCCTCTTGTAGATTTACTTTCAATTAGCAGTTTAAAAATTTCTCTGTATATTTTTAAAGTAAAATAAATAGAACTTTAAAGTCAGTTATTTAGAAAAAAACAGAATTAACGCAGTAGCCTGCCAGCTGTTTTCTCTTTCCTGCAGATGCCTCACTTATGACATTACAGATTCCAGAAATCATTGCTTTAGAATAGATGTAAAGCTTGTGTTGTAGCAGATTTAAAACATATGCATTTGTGTTTTTAATCAGTTATTAAAATTTTAAAAATTAGTATAACTGTTCAGTCATGACTAAGCTTTATGTTATGAAATATGTATGTTGCCAGGGAGAAATCCAGGGGAAAGATGGAAGGAAATTAGTTCTAGTGTGCTGGATGGTGTTTTTTACCCCATTTAGTGTTGCTCTGTGTAAATAAATAACTATTGACAGTTAAATGACTGGCTATCCAGATTGTGAATTTCTCCCTTCCTACATCGTCCCTTGTCATCACCATGATGGGTTAGTAATTTTCTCTTGAAGATAGTGTGGCAAGCTAAAAATCTGGTCTGTTATTAACAGCTGTAGCAAAAGATCTGATTATACAATAATTAAAACTATGGATTGATGAGAGGCTTAAGAATTATCTGTTGGTATTTTCTCCTTTTCCTTCATTTTCATAGATAATTAAGATGTTTTTAAAGCATTATATTAAAGACCAAAAGAAAAGTATACTTTGTTCTCATTTTGGAAATTTTCTTAAACTAGAAAAATAATGTAAGTTTTTAAATTTTCTGAATTTCTCCAAAGAGATCTATAACAAAACATTTATAATAGTATTAATAGAATTGAAAGCCAGATGCAGAGGCTCACGTCTATAATACCAGCACTTTGGGAGGCTGAGGTGAGAGGATTGCCTGAGCCCACGGATTCAAGACCAGTCTGGGCATCTTGGCGAGACCTCATCTCTACAGTAAACAAATAAATTAGCCAGGCGTGGTGGCGCATGCCTGTAGTTCCAGCTACTTGGAAGGCAGTGGCTGTGGTTGTGCCACTGCACTCCAGCCCGACGACAGACTCCAACTCAAAAGAAAAAGGAGGAGGGGGGGTGCATAGCAAATATTTGGCTGGACGTGGTATCTCATACCTATAATCCCAGCACTTTGGGAGGCCCAGGTGAGAAGATTGCCTGAGCCCACAGGTTCGAGATCAGTCTGGGCAACTTGGTAAGACCTAATCGCTACAATAAATCAAAAAATTAGCCAGGCATGGTGATGTGTGCCTGTAGTTCCAGCTACTTGGAAGGCTGAGACGGAAGGGTCACCTGAACTCGGTCGAGGCTGCGGTGGCCATGAGTGTGCCACTGCACTCCAACCTAGGTGGCAGAGTGAGACTCCAGCTCAACAAAAAAAAACCAATAGAATTGAAATATGAGCATTATTAATACATGTTGACTACTAAGCAAATACAAGATGCTAATAGAATTTGATCTTTATGGATGATATCTCAATTTCTTATAATTCACATACCTTGTTTGATTCCTATATGTTTAATATGCATCTTGTTATGATTGTGTACTTTGGATTATTTATTTTGAGAAAATAATGACCAATTCTACCTATGTTTTGTGTTACCTGCTACTTACTATATTTCTAGAAAAGGCATTTAGATGGTTTTTGTCATTTTGTTCCAGATAAAACTCTCTGTAAAAAAAAAATAATGATATTATGGAAATTAAGCCTTTCTAATATCAGATAGTCACTCCATTTCTAAATGTAATAGTAAACATACTGAGTAGTATATAATTAGAAAATACTTTAATTATTTTCACAGTTTTTACCCTCCTCTTGATGAACCATCTATTGGAAATAAAGATATTGATCTCTCAGGACGACTGGAAAGAAAACAAATCTTCAAAGGGAAAACATTTGTATTTTTGAATGCCAAACAGGTAATTACGTTATAAGCTAAATTTACGTAAAGAAAACATTACAAATTAGGATACATTATTACTTTTGTTGGTAGTTGTTAATGCCACCAGTTGTTCTTCTCAATTTTATGTACTTGAGAAGGCTAGAATTTTTAAAAAATTAAATTAAAAGGTTTTTTTGAAAGAAATTTTTTTTTTGACTTGGAGTCTCACTCTGTCGCCCAGACTGGAGTGCAGTGGCCACTCCCGGCCACCGCAGCCTCGACCTGCTGGGCTCCGGCGATCCTTTTTGACTTATTGTAGAGATGAGGCTAATTTTTGACTTACTGTAGAGATGAGGTCTCGCCAAGTTGCCCAGGTGGGTCTCGAACCCGCGGGCTCAGGCAATTCACTCACCTCAGCCTCCCAAGGCGTGGGATTACAGGCTGAGCCACCGAGCCCAGCTAAGAAAATTTTTAAAAAGTCACTAGTTGTGTAGAAGTGTGAAACAGAATAAAAAACTACCCAGGTACCTGAACCTGCCTAGTGGTTATATATGTGATTACAGTATTTCTTAATATCTGTTAATTGGCATGTTAATTGAGCTTATATAAATATGTAAGGGGGAGGGAGAACGAAAAACTAAGTTTTAACTTATTCAGTTAGTAAACATCTATTGTATGTGTTTTCTGTGTTGAAATGGGAGTTCCAAGAGTTTATACTTTAGTGGAAAAATCATACAAATAAGCCCGCAGTTAGAATACTCCTTGGTATTAAGACTGGTGAGGAACTACAAACAGTGTAACAATTCCAGGGCTGCAGATACACCTGCTAAACTAGGAATTTTCTCAGAGTGGGAGTTCAAATTGTCTACTCAAGAAGTAGGGGGCCGGATGCATGCCTTTACTAGTGGCTCATGCCTGTAATCCCAGCACTTTGGGAGGTCAGAGCAAAAAGATTATCTGAACCCAGGAGTTCGAGACCTTGTCTGTACAAAAAAATAAAATTAGCTGGGTGTGGTGGCACATGCTTGTAGTCCCAGCTACTTGGGAGGCTGAGACAGAAGAAGTGCTTGTGCCCAGGAGGTCAAGACTGGTGAGCTTTGATCGTGCCACTGCACTCCAGCCTGGCGACAGAGTGAGGCACCAACTCAAAAGACAAGAGCCAATTTTACTTCAGTTCTACTTCTATTTTAATTGCCAAGTAAAATTTTTACCTAATAAGGCTCGTCTCAAGAAATTATTATCTTTTAAAATCTTTCTTTTCATTTTTAGCATAAGAAACTAAGTTCAGCAGTAGTATTTGGAGGTGGAGAAGCTAGGCTAATTACAGAAGAAAATGAAGAGGAAGATAGTTTCTTTTCAGCTCCTGGAACTTGTGTTGTTGATATGGGAATGACAAACTCACAGATCTTAATTCCTGACTCTCAAAAAAAATGGATTCGTTCAATAATGGATGTACTCCAAAGGTACAGAATTATTCTTTATTAGTTAAAAAAATGCAAGAAAGAGACTTTATATTCACATTTTTTGGTTGCACTTCACTTAATAATGTAAAAGTAGATAGAAGAATTATAAAGATTTTTTATTTTTTAATGTACTTGGAGAGTGTGACCTGGTATGCTAGAAATAGAATATCTTTATGGCAATTTTATCTCAATATTTTATGCTCCTTTTTTATTGCTTTAATAGACTTTTAATAGAATTTGTAGAATTTGTCTCTGAATTAATAAAGTAGTATGAAGTTTTTTATAGCTGTGTGTGGAGACCTGTAATCTTGGCACTTTGGGAGACCAAGGCAAGAGGATTGCCTGAGCCCAGGGGTTTGAGACCAGCCTGGGCAACTTGGTGAGACCTGTCTCTACAATAAATCAAAAAATTCTCTGAGTGTGGTGGTGCATGCCTGTGGTTCCAGCTATTTGGAAGGCAAAAGCAGAAAGATCGCCTGAGCCCAGCAGGTTGAGGCTGTGGTGGCCATGAGCATGCCTTTGCACTCGTGCCTGAGTGACAGTGTTGACTCTGACTCAAAAAAAAAAGTTTTTTCTGCAGAATATGTTACGGTTGATATTTTTTTCTGCAGTTGCCTAGAGGTGAAATGTAATTACACTTTGATGATTATTTATTCAGTTAATAATGCATATAAAAATCTATAATCCCCTGATAGTGGCTATGATGGGAAAGCAGGAAAACATGTCAGATATCTTTAAGTGGTGACTGTAGTGGAAAGGGATACTGTGGATACTAAATCAAGGGTTGTTTTCTTAGACCTTTATTGGTATTAATAATCTTAGCATCATTGAAGTCAAAAAATATTATAGGAATATCCAGCTTGGCAGTCTTTTGACTAAATTACTCTTCACCTAGCAAAAAGTAGGTGGGGCCTAGAGTATTTATATGCCTGAAACGTCTATAGCCAGCGTCCTACAAAAGATTCATTTTTCCTGTCCCAGGAGTCCTTCTGACCATGAGGATTTTTTTTTAAAATTATGGTCTTGCTGAAATAAAAGGTAAAATTTTAGTCATCTTCCTATAAATATTTTACTTAACAGAGATGTAGTCTGTAGAAAAGTAAATATCTTGTATGACAAAGATACCATTTTACTAAGAAAAATTTATTGTGGTTCCATTATGCACTGGGAATATAATAGAAAACAGGATAGTTGTGGTTCCTGCCACCACTGGAGTTTACTGTCTAGAAGGAAAGACAGATTAAAAACAAAAAAACAGATCATTACACAGGTGTATAAGGGAAACAGAATAATAAGGCAGAGGGGAGAAGCTTACTCTGAATAGAGAAGGTCTCTTTCAGGCAGCATGGAAGCTATGACCAATCTTTGAAAGAGCCAGGCAAAGAATGTGCCAGACAGAGCAATGGTAGTAATACATAATCCTGTGTAGCAGATACTGTTCTAAGAATTTATGTATATAAAAACATTTAATCCTCACACAACCCTGTGTTATTTGCTATTAAGGTCCCCATTGTGCAGAAGAGGGAACCTACACAGACATGGGGAAGAACATGCAAACTCTGCAAACAGTGGCCCTGGCCAAGAAACGATTTTTTTTTCTCCTCAATGCTAAAATAAAATGACATCGAACAGAATGGTGTTATTCGAGGAACTGCTATATAGTAAAAATTAACCTTTCTCTTATAGTCAGTACTTTTTGTATTTTCTTTAAGAAATTGTTTCCTATTCATACATCAAAAAGATATTCACCTATACTTTTAATGATTTTTTTTCTAGTACTTTGATACTGTGCTTTGTTCCTAATGAGTCTGGAATTGATTTTGTCTTATACCAGACATGCATAGCTATGTTTTTTACTTTATTCTATTTCATTGATCAGTGTATCATTGTCCAATGCCGCATTTATGAAATTATCTTAATTGCTGCAACTTCCATTAAGTCCTTACAACTGATAGAACAAGTCCCTTTCTGCTTCTTGTCAGAAGAATCCTGGCTCCTCTTTATTTTTTCATAGACATTTAGAATCTTCTTTTCACAAGCCTTGTGGGATTTTAATTAGGAATTCCACTGAATCCACAGATCAACTTGAAGAGAATTAACAGTTTATATAATTTTAATTGTTTCTACCCATGAATGTGGCATCTCTTTCCATTTATTTTGATCTTTTTAAATTACTAAATATAATTTTGTACTTTCTGTGTAAAGATCTTGAGTATCTTTCATCAGATTTATTCCTAGGCAGCACATGTTTTCTGATACTATTATAAGTGAATGGTATTGTGTCTTTAATTACATTTTCTAATTGTTTGCTACTGATGTAAAAAATTCAGCTGTCATTTAGATAGATACTTATCTTATATCCAGCCATCTTGTGAACTCTCCTTTTTTTCTAGTAATTTATCTACATGTTTTTATAAATCATATCATCCATAAGTAATAGCATTTTTATCTACTAATTCTTGTACCTCTGATACCTTTTTGTTTGTTGGTACCTTTCTGTTTTTTATGTCTTTGTGTTTTGTACCAGAGCAATGTTGAATAAGAGTGATGATAGTGGCCACATTTTTTTTTTAGTACTGACTTTAAAAGAAATCTTTCCAGTTTCCCCATTTAGGGTGATGTAATTTCTGTATAGCATTGTTACTAAGTATGTATTTTAAATGTTTTTATTTTATGTAGCCAATCTTTATAACAAATTCACATAGTATAATTAGTTTCAAAAAAGTTAGTCCAGAAATAAAATACTAGTTTTGAATTACCTGAATAAAAAATAGGTATATGTGATCACTTGATCATAATGCTTCTTAAAAATCTTATTTTTTTTAAGTTTAATACTTTTGGAATGACACATATAGTTGAGTCCTATTTAAGTAAACTTAGTACACATGCAAAACTCGTTAAGCATTTTTAAAAGACCTTTTAAACTACTATTGCCACCTAAAACTTCTTTGTAACTAACGTTAAATGATATTTTATAGCTCTTTGTTAAAATATGAGTTATAGTTTCTATATAGTATTATTATTAAATTGTATTAAATTTTCTTTATTTTATAAAATTAGTCATTCACAGTATAGAGTAACAAAACAGTTTCACCAGAAGATTTCTTCAATATGAAGATATCTTAATACATATAAATTTGGTAAAATAATTTGATTTATTAAACTTAAAAGTTTGACACATGTATAGATACAGCTTATGTATAGTTCTTTGTACTTCTTTTTCTCCTTCACCCTTCCCTTTTTATCTGTCTTTTAGATTTTATCTTAGGGTTATAGAACTCATAGATTTATTTGTAAAAGCCTGTTATTGCATCTAGGTATTACTGCTTTCTTCTTATTCTGAGAATTAATAGAATTTTGGAACTGAGAAGACCTGTATCCTTTACTCTAGTCCCTTATTTTACACATGAAGTTAACTCAGGTTTACTAAAAGGTAGCGGATTTGCCCAATGTAACATTGCCCTAGTGAGTGAACTAGTACTCTGTATGTGAATTCTCTCTATACCGTAAAATTACATTTCTTTGGAGTAAAAAAAAGTGTTGGTTTAGCTTGATATAATTTTAATAAAAGTTGTTTGTTTAATATATTAAACTTAAACTATTTTATTCTAATAGGCAAGGCCTTAGACCTATTCCTGAAGCAGAAATTGGGTTGGCAGTTATTTTCATGACTACAGAGAACTACTGTGATCCTCAAGGCCAGCCCAGCACAGGTAGTTAAAGTATTATTTTATTGTTCATTAGTCACTTTATTATGTAAATAGATGATGAGCTGTATGTACATTACTCTTATACTTACTACGGGTGACCATATTCACCATCTTTAAAACTCATGTATTTATACTTTCATTTCTTCATTTGATAAATACTTGTATTGTATTGGGCACTGTTATATAATGGTGACTAAAGTAAACAAGATCCCTATTATTGTGAACTTTATGTTCTAAAGATCAGGATTTAGTAAACAAATACACAATAAGTTCAGATAGGGCCAAGTATAAAGATGAAAGTAAAACTAGGTGATGTAATAGTGACTGGGTGTGGGCTGTTTGAGATAAGTAGGTAAGGAGTGTTTTACTAAGAATATGACATTTGAGTCTCATGTGTCCTGAATGATGAGAAAAGGCAGCTATGTGAGGACATGGGTGGCACAGAATTCCAAATAGAAGGAATAGCTTACAGGTGTTTGTGTGCAGAATAGATTTTAAGGATCCACAATGAAAGTGAGAATATGAGGAGAAACTATTATGCAGATCCAGATGAGAAAGTCTGATGCCTTGGATCAGCATGGTGGTAATGGAGATGCAGAAAAATGAACAGATTTAAAATATATTAGAATTAGACCCAGTGGGACTTAGCTGTGGAGGAATTAGAAGTGACTCCTAGTTTTCATAAGTAACTGGGTGGATGGTGATGCCATTTACTGAGATGAAGAACGTGCATTATAATTATAGCAGTGTTGACAGTCATAAATACAAATATACTCATAGACAATTGCTTTTACTCCTTTATTATTTAAATCACACGTATTTTTTTTAATAACCTGTTACGTTCATTTATTTTTCTTTTTTATCCTAGAAGTTTTTACATTTATTTTCCCTAGTAACTTTTCTCGTCTTTGCCTAGCTATCAGAACATCTATTCTGTGTTCCTGTATACATTTATTTGTTTTCTGAGTTCTTTCTATAGTTATATCCTCAGCAGATTGGACTTTGGCTAAAAGAGATACGTTAGAGAACAGCACCCCCCCCATTGTACACTCTAGGGGGTATACAGTTCACATTGTAGTCTTCAGCAGTTTAGCTGTAGCCTACCTCCTGATCCTCACCTTTTTATATGTCTCTGTACAGAATACATGTGCCATATTTATTATAGTTTCCACATTTCCCCATCTCAAATATCCTGTTTCCTGTTCCTAGAACACCAGTACTGCTTATCAAAATCTGACTGGTTACACAAATGTCTGCCTCCTTCATAAGGCCTTTCTAAATTGTTTTCTCTCCCAACTCTACCAAATCAGACTAAATTATTCTCTCTTCTATACTTCAGTCGTTTTTTGCTTTTGAACTATAGTTTCTTCCTACTTTGAAACATTTCTAGTTGTTTCATGCCTTTTTCGGTCACTAGATTGATGATAAATTCTTAATAATTTTGAATTCCTTGACAGCAGCAAGCACAGTACTTGTTTGTTGTAGGTATAAATATTTGCTTAATTGAACTAAATTATTAGTACACCAGATTATCTTTGCCACTGTAGAGCAACAAAATTTTGTCATCCACTGTTGGAATTGTATTTATAGCTGAAAGGACCTTAGAGATCATCTAATCATTTTATTAGAGATGGGAAGATCACCCAAGTTCTGAAGTTCAAGACCAGTGGGACAACATAGCAAAACTCTTATCTCTACAAAATAAACAAACAAACAACAAAAGCATGGAGGTACACATAGTAGTCCCAGCCAGGAGGAGGGTCCTTGAACCCAGGAGTTGGATGTTACAGTGAGCTGTGATCACAGCATTATACTCCAGTCTGGACAACAGAATGAGACCCTGTCTCTGAAATAAATAAAAATAAAAAAGTTAAGAGATATCAAGGTTGAGGTTCTGTAATATGTCGAGGCGAAGCCAATCCTAAAATTCAGTTTTCTGCCTACCAGACCAGTACTTTTTCTAATGTAGCATTTTATACAGAAATAAGGTCATGAGGGTGAATAAAAATATACACTATAATTAGTAGTATTACTTCTTGCACATATTTATAGGTAGGTTTATGTGAATTCCAAGTCTTGGGCCACTGACTTACTTAATTTTGTAACACTTCCAATTCAGGGGTAACAGAATGAATGCATAGCTCCTTCCCTTTTTCTTTACTCTCTTCTTCCTTTCCTTCCTTCCTTTCCTTTTTTCATGTTCACTCATTTATTTCTTCAACAAATATTTATTGAACATCTGTTTTCTACCTGTGATTATTCCGAACACTTGGAATAAAGAGGTGAGTAGATCAGAACAAATCCTTACCCTCATGAAATATTTAGCAAGGATTTTTTTTTTTTTTTTGAGTTGGAGTCTCACTCTGTCGCCCAGACTAGAGTGCAGTGGCCGCTCTGCTGGGCTCCAGCGATCCTTCCGCCTCAGCCTTCCAAGTAGCTGGAATTCAGGCATGCGCTACCACGCCCAGCTGATTTTTTTTTTTTGATTTATTGTAGAGATGAGGTCTCGCTGCCCAGGCGGATCTCAAACCCGCGGGCTCAGGCAGTCCACTCACTTCAGCCTCCCAAAGGTGTGGGATCACAGGCTGAGCCACCGAGCCTGGCTGGATTTTTTTTTTAAGAGGCAAGACTTTTGCTTTGTTCCCAGGGTTGAATGCAGTGGTGCTATGATGCCTCACTGTAGCCTTGAACTCCCTCACCTTTGCCTCCTGAGTAGCTAGGACTACAGATGTGCACCATCACACCTGGCTAACTTTTTTTTATTATCTGTATAGACAGGGTCTCCCTATGTTGCCCAGACTGGTCTCGTTCTCAGCCCCAGATGTTCTTCCTGCCTGACCTCAGGATTGTTTTAGTGATTATATAAATACTTATAATTTGTATTCTTTGCAAATGTCTTTGCAAGAGAAGATGAATTCTGAAGATATGTGTCTTTAAGGAAATGCCATCGAGCTTCTAAGGCGGTCATAAAGAGAAAGTGGCAAGCCATTTAAATATTTGAATTTAAGATCAGTAGTAAACATTTATTAAGCAACATCATATGTTGTGAGAAACTAACAGAGTGATAATTTAGCTTAGATATTTTGGTGAATGTTAACTTAAAATTTTTTTCCAGTGAGCAATTTAATCTATGAACTTATTTATATATGCTGTATACCAAATGTTGCTCTCTAGGCACTAGAGATATAGAATTGAGTAAGACTTAGTCTCTATTTGTAAGGAGATTCTAGTCTGATAAGGGATAGTAACAAGTAAAGTGATGATAACAACAGCTAATACTGGCATAGTACTTACTATATGGCAGGCATTTTTCTAACTGCTGTCATGTATCAGTTCATTTTGTCCTTAGAACAACTTTGTGAGGAGGATGTTATAATTACTCTCATTTTATATATGAGGGAACTAAAGCATAGAGAAGTTAAATAACTCAGACCACACAGCCAGTGATAAGTGAATTGTTAATAGAATGAAGCACATGGTGGTATGGGAGTAGAAATGAGGATTTAATTCACTGTAGGAAGCTCAAAAAAGTATGTCTATAATGGTTTTACATATTTTTATTTCAAGTCATATATTCCTTATAAAACACATTGATTCTGATTTGTATAGATAATAGCCTACTGACTTAAAATCTAATTTGAATTAGAATTTGGTTTTAAGTGGATAATACTTCAACACAAAAGATTTGATGTAGTTTTAAAATGATTTGGTTTAGATAAGCCTGTCATAGATGACAGCAGACTGCTTTTAGAGTATTTTGTTGCATGTTTTATTGGCTCCACTGTCTGGCGACAACCTTGTGCTGTATTACCTAGTTAATCCCCTCAGTATGGCCTAGTCTAACAATTTTTAGTGACCAGATGTCCATTTTGTATCTAACAGTTGTGATTCTTTCTTTTTACTTGTGTGATTTATAGGATTAAAGACAACAACTCCAGGACCAAGCCTTTCACAAGGCTTGTCAGTCAATGAAAATCTAATGCCAACAGCCCTAGTGAACACTACAATGAACGTACCTGACACAGAATCAGAGCAAGTAGATACATGGTACAGTTTCTTTGTTATCAAACTATTGTTCTTATTTTATCAACAAATTAGTAGTACATTTAAGAAGTAAACTCAGAGCCGGGCTCGGTGGCTCAGCCTATAATCCTGTGCTTTGGGAGGCTGAGGTGAGTGGATTACCTGAGCCCGCAGGTTCAAGATCCGCCTGGCCAACTTGGTGAGACCTCATCTCTACAGTAAATTTTAAAAAAATCAGCTGGGCGTGGTAGCGCGTGCCTGTAATTCCAGCTACTCGGAAGGCTGAGGCAGAAGGATTGCTGGAGCCCATCAGGTCGAGGCTGCAGTGGCCGGGAGCGGCCACTGCACTCCAGTCTGGGCGACAGAGTGAGACTCCAACTCAGAAAAAGAAAAAAAAAGAAGTAACTCAGTACCTTTATCAGGTCGTCTTTTGGGAAATAAAGCATGGGAAACTAGGATGCCAGGGAAAATATCTTTGGACGGAGTCAGCATATTTTCTGTAAAGGACCAGAGAGTAAATATCTTTGGCTCTGTGGCCTGTTGATCTCTGTCCAGCTACTTAACTCTGCCGTTGTAGCATGAAAACAACCATAAACAATATATAGACACATATCACTTAAAGACAGGGATACTTTCTGAGAAATGTTCTTGTGGGGATTTTGTCATTGTATAAATCTAAGTAGTCTAGCCTACTGCACATCTACTCTATGTGATATAGCCTATGGTTCCTAGGCTACGAACCTGCACAGCCAAGCTGTAGCTACATACCTACAGTACTGAATAATGTAAACAATTGTAACACAGTGGCATTTGTGGATCTAAACAGAAAAATACAGTATAAAAGATTTTTTTTTTTTAAGACACACCTACCCTTTTTAAGGGCACTTTACTATGAATGGAACTTAGATTACTGAAAATTTCTCTGGGTGAGTCAGTGAGTGAGTGGTCAGTAAATGTGAAGACCTAGGACCACTTCTTATTCTTTAAGCTTTTTTCCATTTTTAAAATCTTAGTTTTTTTACTTTTTGAACTTTTTGTTAAAAACTAAGACACAAGCACACATATTAACCTAGGCCTACACAGATCAGGACCATCACTATCACTGTCATTCACTTCCGTTTCCTTGTTCACTGGAAAGTGTTAAGGAAAATAACACGCATGGAGCTGTCATTTCCCATGATAGCAATGCTTTGTTCTAGAATAGCTCCAGAAGAAACGACCTGCATAAGGCTGATTTATAGTTTACTTTTTTTAATAAATAGAAGGTGTATACTCTAATGATAAGTATGGTATAGTAAATATATAAACCAATAACATAGTCATTTATTATCATTTTCAAGTATTGTGTACTCTACGTAATTGTATGTACTATATGCTTTTATAAGAATGACAATGCAGGCTGGGCTCGATGGCTCAGCCTGTAATCCCAGTGCTTTGGGAGGCCGAGGTGAGTGGATTGCCTGAGCCTGTGGGTTCGAGACCCGCCTGGGCAACTTGGCGAGACCTCATCTCTATAATAAATCAAAAATTAGCCGGGCGTGAGAGCGCACGCCTGTAGTTCCAGCTACTTGGAAGGCTGAGGTGGAAGGATCGCCGGAGCCCAGAAGGTCGAGGCTGCAGTGGCCGGGAGCGGCCACTACACTCCAGTCTGGGTGACAGAGTGAGACTCCAACTCAAAAAAAAAAAAAAAAAGAATGACAATGCAGTAGATTTGTTTACACATAAGTAATGCATTACACTATGATGTCACTAGATGATTGTAGTTTTTTAGCTCCATTATACTCTTATAAGACCACCATCATATATGTGGTCCATTGTTGACTGAAGCATTATGTGCATGCATGACTGTAATTGAATGAGTGTTGTTCTAGTCCAGTAAAACTTTATTTACAAAAACAACATGGCAGGTCGAAAGTTTAGCAACTCCTGTCTTAGGATAATTTTTTCATTCCTTTCAAATATACTTGGAAGTCTAAAAATAATTGCACCATTTTATTTGTGACTGGTGAAATAAGTTTGAAATGTATTTCTGTTGTATGATTTTACCTATATTTAAATACTACTTATAATTTTAGAGATACTTTATATGTATCTATCTAGCTATCTAAATAGTTAATATTTGTCCATAAATAGTTTTTCTGGGCCAGGCATGATGACTCTTACCTCTAATCCCAGCACTTTGGGAAAATGAGGCAGGAGGATTGCTTGAGCCCAGGAGTTTGAATACAGATTGGACAATATAGCAAGATTCTTGCAAAAAATAAAAAAAGTATTTGCGTGGTTCTCTATTTGAAGAGAGGTTTTGTTTTTTGAATGGAAGGGGGATAGCTCTTTTGTATTCTTTAGTATTTTTTATTTATGACAGTATATTTTGAACATTCCATATTTAAGTGTTTGTATTAAGATACTTGAGATGTCTTTATTTTAGACCATATTTATATTAATGTTTGCTACATCTATGTTTTATATTGAGGCCAGATTTAACTTTTTAAAGAGACTGTTAACGTTTTGAAAGTTGATTGAACAGCAGTTTTAACTTTTGTTTTTTTAATGAAATAAAAGTAGAAAAGGCAGGTGTAATTTGACCATACTTTGTAAAACTCTGTGTATATATTTAAATATTTTGCTCATAGTCTAGAGTTATGTTATATTCTAGAAACTGCCATCTGGCTGGAATACAACTTTATCGATTCATATAAAGTGATCTAAATACCCTGATACCCATTATATATAATACTGTAATGATAGGAAATCTTGTTGTTTTTCATTCTTGTAGTACTTCTACATGGGAATAATTTAAAAATTTTAAACAAAACAAAATTACCTAGGATTATCCCCTAATTTAATTTATAGTAGAATATTAGGCTGGTATTCTGTATGCGCTTGGCTGTTGTTTGTAGTAGAGCATGCCTGGCAATATGTGTTGAGGGGCATTCAGGGTATGGTGTCATCATCCTTCAGGACACTTAGATAACAAAAGATGTTTAAATAGTTCTAATATAGATCTTTCCATATTAAACTTACTATAAAATTGATTGTTTAACCTTGTATTCTTTCTTTTTTTCTACAGTATGAATTTGAGTGAAAGACCAAAAGAAATACAAATTTCTAGACTGGAACAAAACTTCAGAATGCTTTCACAAAAAGTATCTACTATGAAGGAAGCTCCCAAAACAAGCTCTAGTAATAGTATAGTATCAAATAGCCTGGATAAGGTAAAAATTTCGAGCTATCAGCTTTCACCAACTAAATTCCCAGATACAAATAAAAGCAGAGGTCGGGCTTCTCAGCAACAGCAGATCAACTCCATCAAAAACTATTTTCAGCCATGTACAAAAAAAAGGTATATTTTTAATAGCATCTTTTGTGTCTCTGAAAAGAATTTAAAAATTGTTATGCTGTTGTAGAGTGGTATTATCTTTAATTTGTTCTGCTTAAGTATGCTTCTCTAGAAAGCTGTGTCCTTTTTACCTTATTCTCTTTCAGAAATGTCTCTAATCTCCTCCTTCATTAGGGCTGTTAGACAGATTCTTCTTCGTTTTCTATACTTAGTTTATCTGTTGTTTTACTTGCTTTACTTCTCTTGAAGAATTAACCCACATCTAAGTTCCAAAGTCACCTTTTTGCCTCTTTCCCTGGATCAACTCTCTCACTTCCTCTAGGACCATTCTTCATCAATTATTTTCTCAATTTTTAGTATTTTGAATATATTCATCATCCTAGATTATTTTCTTCTGTTTTCAAAAACTCAGTCTCGCCTTTATTTTTGAAAACCTTCTCTTGACCAGGTTTCTTCCTCTAGTTATTTCTGTCTTTTAAATTCACTGAGTTTCTCAAAAAAAGATTATTGTTACTTCTCCCATTTCTGTATTAACTGGTAGGTACTTCTTTTCCTCCTCCTTTTGCTCAATACTCTGTGTATTCTACAGTCAGGTTTTGTGATTTTATTATAGAACACCTAAATATGTGGCCATAATTTTACCTTTAAGCTTCAGTTCTACTTTTCCACAGGAATTTCCTGCTGTTGTCCTGAATAATAGACCTAAGCATCTTCTCTATCCTCTTACAGAATATGGTTCTTTAAAGTAGTTTATCTTGTTATAATCTTTGACCCTTTCTCTTCTGCCTCCCAACCAATATTGTTGATTTATATTTTCAGTGTTTTATCAATCCCTCACTTTCCATCTCTTGCCAGCTCCCTGGTTCAAATTGACCCACCTATATTATTACAGAAACCTTTGGGCTGGTTTGTTTGTTCAGTATCCTCACATTAAATTAGTGTTAATAGAATATCACTTGACTGTCCCATTTCAACATGAATCCACTAAACTCCTAAAGAACAGAGACCCAAGTCTTTCTGTTCTCTGTGGACCTTAGTACAATTTGCATAAATATAGTGTTCAGCACTTATTGAGTGAATGATACAGTATTTTATAGAAAATATTTAGTGATATATTCACTTAGTATTTGCAGTATACAGTCAGTACCATTTTCTAGATTTAGCTACTCTGACGTTCTTTCTTGAATCCGTCTTTCATTAACTCATCAGCTTATATTTCCAGGGTAATGTTTTACTTCCCAGAAGTTTCCAACATTATAAAGTAAGCTGCTGTCTCTTGGTTATAGGTCCTTTGTATTTTTATATTTTTCTACCTTTTCTTCCAGTTGATTTATCAACTAATGCTACTTCAGCAAAGTATAGATCTCCTTATTGCTTTAGCTACAGGGTCCATCAGTTTTATTAAAACAGCAGAATGTATATGAATTGTGTACCATTTGCAAATGTCCATTTTAAAAATTTTCTTAATAGTGTTAAAGTCAAGAGAATATTGTGAACTAAATGGAGGGAGTGGTGAATATTGCCAAACTAAAAGATTTACTTACCTGTATCCATTTTCTGGTTTTCTTTTCTTTTCTTTTTAAATCTAAGGGAAAGGGATGAAGAAAATCAAGAAACGTCTTCATGCAAATCAGCACGAATAGAAATGTCTTGTTCTCTTTTAGAACAAACACAACCTGCTACACCCTTAGTATGGAAAACTAAGGAGCAACATCTATCTCATAATGTGCCTGTGGACAAAAAATCAGATGACTTATTTACAGTTACAGATTTAAAACCCAATGTGAAGAATCATGCCAATAAATCTCTTTCAACAGAAACATTAAGATCAAGTAAAAGAAAAGAAATGGATGATTTAGCCATAGAAGATGAAGCATTAGAACAGTTACTCAAGAACATAAAACCAGAGTTAGAAATTGATGTGAAAGTTCAAAAACAAGAGGAAGATATCAATATTAGAAAAAGGCCAAGGAAGGATATAGAAACAGATGATACTCGTAATGATGAAACAATATCAGAAAGTAACATAATATCTGTAAGTAATGTTTTTAATGAGAGGTATTGCAAATAGAAACTTAGAATGATTAAAGGTACTTTGGATTTTGTACTGGCAGTATGAACATCCATAATGTCTTCAACATTCAGTATTAAGTGTAAGAATTTGTTGGTTAATTAGGCGAATGTTAAAAATACAATGATTCTTGAGTAGTTTAAAATAAATTACAACAAATAAAATTATTAAGTATAGGAGATGTTTTAATATAATAAGGAAGCACAGAAAGATGAAGGAAGTTAGTAAAACAAAGTAAGTCTACTGAATAAATCTTTAGAATAAAACATACAACATCACCAGGAATTTTTATTTTCATTTATGTCTATTTTCATTCATTCTATTTTCATGAATGATGATAATTTGTCTTATCCACTTTGGTCTCAGAAAACTCTTCAATAGTTCCTGTTTTATGTATCATTAAATTGAACTATCTGTAGACTTGTTAACTCATTAGATAAGAGCACAGACCTGATGAAATAAAAATGTAATATTTTGATCTCCCACATGGGTCCATTAGCTCTACTCATTCATTACTGTGGTCATCCCCTCCTATAACACCTACAGGCCGGGCTCGATGGCTCAGCCTATAATCCCAGTGCTTTGGGAGGCTGAGGTGAG